TTTTGTTTGGTTTGGTTTTCATTCGTTTCCTTTTCAACTTGTATTATTTCCTGTTGTCTGTTTAATATGCACAATAATTTATATGATTGATATCCAACAAACTGTGTATTATCTGAATACTTCTAAATAGTCTGCAAGTTTCCAGTTATTCTCTGGGCAATGACCCTTTAAAAGATAGATGAGAAATATTTTAATAAGTTTATTTTCTTTGATTTCACTTGTTACCTCATTTAAAGAAATTTGTACTAGAAATAATGTATTACAATGAATACTTCTAATGTAAGTGACACACGTGATTACATTATACCAAGCTTTTTATATAGGAATCTGTTGTGCGAAGACATGGAATTAAGATTACTGTTGTCAAGTTTCTGTAGCTATGACCCTTAAAAATTAGAGAATAAAAGATTTCAGGAGAACCTAATGAAACAGCAATATTTTCAGTGTCTGTCTGCTTTTCTATTTCATTGGACCACAAATAATCTATTGTGATTCATTTTTCTCAGTGAAGTGGAAGATACAAGTAACTCTTCTGTGTGACTCAGCTTTTAGCAGAGATGATTAGTTAAAATATAAACCTGAAAACAGTTGTATACAATTGTATAATCCAAAATTAGAAAGCAGGTTCTAGTATGCTTAGGCTATACCTTACCTATGTTCATTTAACATATTCTTAAAACCTCCAGAGAAGTCTTTGTTCTAGTGCTTCTCTTTCAATTTTTCCTAATGCAAATCTACTTCAGTGAAAAATTAAGCAAACTTTCTCTGTCGTGGAGTAGCTGGCAAACAGGTCTTTATAGTTTTCTTTGCTCTGCCTTAGTCGTCTTCCAGCAATAAGCAAGTCAACTTTTCTTTCACCATCTCCTTCGCTTTTTAGCTGTTGTCTTGTTCCTCTCTAAGATTTCTTGCATTTATCTGTATCCTTGAAACATTGTGCTTGAAGGCAGACCAGTCTTTTGGTTGAGCCTTTATCTGTACAGTACAGAAAAATAATTCTTTCTGTATTTTTCCTACAAAATTCTAAGTAAAAGTTGAATCTTTTGTTGTACTGAATACGTGAAATACTATGATCCCGAGATTCTGCCATTGCAGGGCAGCTATTGAATCATTGTATTTGTACACTTAAATTCTTCTCATAATATACTTCAAATAGATCTTTATTTAATTTTACCACACTAACCGGATTATGTTCTTAGTTTTGCAGCATAAATTTTAGCTCTGATACTTCTCAACCATTATTTATATTCCCAGTTTGTAATTTACAAAGATCTCAAATCAGGACTTAACTCTATAGGTTACTTTCTGAAGGTTGGTTTTGACTAGTTGGCCTTATAGAATATTCAGAATAAGTATGTGATAACTTCCATTACCGTGTCGTGTAACTTTGTCTATTTTTTTCCTGAAGTGCTTTTATTTATTTATTTATTTATTTATTTAATTGTAGGGAGTTGTAGAAGGTAAATGTACCTCAAACTGGAGAAGTGAAGTTGTATGTTGAAGGGTAGAGAAGCAAAGGCTTTGGAGTATCTGGGGAAGGAGATTGATGGCATTGAAGGGAAGTGTAGAGGTATGCAGTGGGGGTTAGAAACGGTGGGGCCAAGGGAAAGGAGTGAGTAGGGGACCTTGGGAGGTGACAGAAGTGTGGTTCAAGTAGCCCAAGTTGAGCAATGTGTGGTGAGAGGCTAGATAAGGTGGCAATCCTGAAGGATCACGAAGGGGTAAAAGAGGTAGTAGGAGCCTGTTTTGGGATGAGGGGATTGAAAGGTGAGGCTGGAGGGGAAGGACAGAAAGGAGAGCAATGGCTTTAACGACAGAGGGGTGATAGCCTCACAATGGTGAGGCTAAAGAGTTTGGGAGAATACTCTCATATGTCCATGGGATGTTAGGTGCTGAAAGATGGAATGGTTAAAATACCAGGTGCAGAGCAAGTGGAGGTCCTACCTGTCCTTGTGCCTTGGTTTTAGAGGCAAGGGAGGAGAGCTGAAGTACAGTTAATCATCTCATAGCCCAATTTTTGTCAAGTTACACTTCAGTGGCCATCATGATTCATTTTTATAACGTTCATATAGATGCGTCTCTCATTTGCCAACTGTTTGAGGTGGTAGCATGATCATAAAAGAAAATCCAGCTGACAAGGCTGGAAGACAGGGAAAGGAGTAGAACACCATGAATTTTGTATGTTTGTTTGCTGAAATGGTGCTTGAAATGGGAAGATGTAGTTTCTTAATACCCAAAGAGTTCAAAGGATGGCAAAATATGTCAGGAAACTGCACTGAAAGTCTGGAAAACATAGTCTTTAGTGGTTGTGTTTAATATTCTCTAAAATGTGAAGGAAATGCAAGGATAGGTTGCAGGGAAAAGAGAACTATCACTACTGAAAGATGCTTGGATGTCATCCTCGGCACAGGCTTTCATGCTTTCCTCCCATCACCTTCTCCCAGAGGAGAAAATGGAGTTAACCTTCTCAAACGTTTTCTTGTGGTATCTTGTTATTTATGAAGGACTATTTGAAGTGCATCAGAATTCGAAGCAAGAGGTTTATGTTATGGTTCTTAATTGCTGTAGAAGTGAACTTTATGCTCTTGTACTAGACACTTGGAAAGTGGTGACTTAGTCTTTCTTGTGCTGAGGCACTGTTTTGCATGAGAAATGCAAAAACTACCTTGATCTCAGATCTTTAGATGCATAAGTAGCTATTTTGGTATTGTCCCTGAGCTGTGCATGCTGTTCTTTAGAAAGACAGTGTAGTACATGGAGGTGAAACTTGACATGTTCATGTCAACATACTCTACTATAAAGTTTTTTTCACCTGAATATTAACATTTTCATGAAGAGGGAGCTTAGGCTTTATAGTCCAGAAAGGAGATGGCAAATTACTGCAGCTGAGTCATGATGTGACTCAGTATGTATTGTATGATTTCTGCTATAACTTCACAAATAAAAAATGAGGAGTTCAAAGGTGCTACTGTAAACAAATTCAATGCATAAGTAAATCCATGAGCATTCTTAAGCAAATGCTCACGAAGAGCATATTGAGTGATAGGAAACTGCAGCGTATTTAGGAGTCCTTGAAGTGACATGTTAATCAAACTGTATACTTAAAGCTTGAGCATTTCCTGAATGCACAAAATCACTTTTCTTAACTAATTTACTACTACTATATAAAATAAACCCTTTCATGAAATGCATACTTCATGTAATTATTGGAGTAAGGCATGAAAAGAGAACTAATATTTCAGTAACAAATGACTGTTGCCTCTTTTTTTTTAGGGATGATCTTAAAATTAATCTAGGGGAGTCAAATTTTGTTTAATTACTGAAGTAACGAAGAATACAGTTATAGAATGTTCTATAACCCTGCAGTGTTTTCTGTTTTTTCTGGAAGTTTGGCTTAGTACTTATAACTTTTGAGAAACCAACTGAAGTTTGAAATAAGCAGGAACATTTATTTCCATTTTCTAATTTGTTTCTAATTCTAATTTGTTTCTTTTTTCTAATGTAATAATAAAGATCTTCCACTTGAAGGGAATGCTGTGGTGAGGCGTGAATGTGGTTTATCAAATTCTGAAGTTAGTAGATAAGCTGCATGCTGGTCCTTGGCTCATCAAATCCAACTAATCCTTACAAAAACTAGAGGGCACTCTGGTGCTAGTAAGATCAATTCAAAACAAATAAAATACTTATTTACACAGCAGGTAGGAAACTGTTGCAACTTGCTACCACAGCAGGTTGTAGGGCAACCACTTTCAGAAGTTCAAAAAAGGGGGGAAAAAATCATGCAAACAGGTGTATAAATATGGATTTTAAAGATTGAGTAGGTATATATTTTATAGTATATACTTTGTAACATTCCAAATTGAGTGTTTTTTGGAGACTGATGGAATGTGAAGGAATGGATCACATACAGCAGCAAAATTCATCTGCTTTCCCCAACTAACCTGATAAATTGCCACTGTTGGAGGGTAGAGGTAAACTACTGGTTAGACGAACTACTACAGTTTTAAAAAGCTAGTGTTAAAGAGAACGAAAGCACTTTGTTACTGCAGAAATAGCACTCAAATCCTTTCTGACTGATGCATACTTGCTTGCTCATGAAAACTTCTAAATTATGACAACTTCTAAAGCCTGAATAAAGCATTTTTTCCTCCTCCTTTCCTTAGTGTTCAGCGTGGATTGCAGCACGGTAGAATGTCCTCCTGTTCAGCAAGTTGTTTGTCCACTGGATAGCTACGAAACCCAAGTCAGGCTGACGGCTGATGGCTGCTGTACCCTTCCCACAAGGTCTGTGTCTTGTCTAACCAAGTATTTTTTTTTCTTCCTTGTTCTCTGTAATTCCTGATGCTAAAATCTCTGTACTGTAAATGCTGGGTAATAGTGCATATCTTTGAAGCAATAAATGTTAATACAGAACAGAAGTTGTACAAAGCAGGTTAAAGGTAATCAAAGTTGTACAAAGCAGGTTAAAGGTTTCATACAAATATTAAATCCATCTGTTTTCAAACAGAAAACTCTTCTCAGTATACATGCATGAATTTTGAGTCTTAACAGATTAATTTGTGATGTTTGGGTCTAGGTTAATCAAATTTGCAGAATATGCAATTCAGTTGACAAAAGTAATGTATTTTTTGAAACTTTTGAAGGTCTTTGGTAAGGAATTACATAATGGAGATCTGGAGATCACAAGATAAATCAGGAAATCTAACTGAGTTAAAAGTATTTTTTTTGTGCATGGAAGATCATTGTGAGAAGCTCTAAGAGGGTGGCTTAAGTGGAAGTGTATGTAAACAGAGGTTTCAGAGGCTCACTTTCATTTTACTTCAATCTGTTTTCCAAGTAGATATGATTTACCACTCTTCGGAAAAAGCAATTTTGAGTTGTTTTTATTCTAGAATGCTGTGTCACTGTCGTAGCTTCTTTTTTACAGTATACTTCTAAATTTCTGAATTTGACAATTAAATTTATTAATCATTGTACAATGCAATTATTGGAAAAAAAAAAAAAACCCTTTTATCCTTATTCACTGAATGATATGAATTTCCTTGCATTCAGACTTGATGTTTTGTTTAGTACTTTTTTCCTTTTTCTTTATCTTCCCTGAATTTTGCACCAGAAGATAACAGGACACCTCAAGGCACCCTTTATTTTTTAATATGTTCTCACTAACTTAACCTTCCAAGGAAATATGATGATTTCATATCATTGGCTAATTGGGACTGCACAGATTAGAGATCTAAACTACCTTGTTGTACAGGCATAGGAGCTTGCCACATTGAAGAAATTGATGGTAAAATGCTAATAAGGAGTATATCCAGAAAGATAGATAAAACCGTAGCAAGATATATTAAGCTTTTAGATGAAAACTCATAAAGCTGTGTCAAACTTAAAGATTAAATTAGTGATTATATGTCACTAATTTCAAATTCAAATTACTTTCAAATTTTAATTAATTTCAAATTTGTTTCAGCTTCCCAAAATGGAAAAAGTAGAAAATAGACCAAATCTATTTTTATACCCTAATAAAGACATGATCCATTTTTTGTGTTGTCTTAAATACTGTGGAAAAAATGTTTTGGACTATATTGCTTTGAGAAATGAAAGGTATCCACTTTCATCTATAAATTGTGTGAATATTATAACTTCAGTATTTCTTCTATCAAGGAATATACGCTACAGAGAAAATGAAACTTAGAGTTGTAATTTTTGTAAATATTTTCTAATTCTAAGGCACACAGTTAAAGGTGAGAAATGATCTTATGTAAAATAGATAATGTAAACCTATCTCTGAAAAATCTTTTTTTATTTCCTAGAAAATATTTTTTAAATAGATTCTACCAGTTTGTGTGTTCACTGGAAATGATTACTAAAGTGTACTTGTATACATGCCAGCTATTTAAGTGACAAAAGCAATCGTCCTGTTGCCAGCACACGATGACACCTATTGTATAAGCAAGCACAGTGTGTGTGAATTATTAGATAATTTTTAATTGCAGTAAAACCATTTTGAAAGCAGACTTCTCTGTGTTACTGGGATCAGTGTTTAACAGATGATAAAAGCTGGGCTAAACGAGTTGTTAGCTCCTGGAGTCTTATGATGCAGTCAGGATTTCTGAAGGATTTTGTTTGTTTTCTGAGACCATATTTAACAATATTTCTGTGTTAATCCTCCTTGCTGTATAAAATTGCAAAACAGAGCATAATTTAATCTGAGTCTGCAGGCAGGTTGAAGCAGTCATAGAGGTCTTGTAGTGCTCCACTCTGTGTTGCAGCCCAGGGTGTTCCAGCCTGGGAGTTTTTGGATTGCCTTAGTTCAGCCAAAACAGTTAAGACTTCTTTTCTTAGTAGAACACGTGAGAAAGAAAGGAGGAAAACGGCCCGTGATAGCATTAAAATCATATAGATGCTTTACCTACTGCATGCCTGCTGAGGATCTATTTAGCTATGGCAGTATGTTAAAATCTCAACATCCCCGTAGAGAGACAGCTTGTGCCATCGTACTTTTTCATGTATCATAGGGTACTGCAAGGATATTGCATGAAGAAAGTGGTAAAGGAACACAAGGAAAGAAATTATTAAGAGATTGGTGTTAGAGAAGAATCTGTATGAAGGGAGAGAAGAGAAGGGGTAACGAAATCCATTTACTAAAGTGCTTTGAGCATGGCGATCAAGATTCATGAATTTAGCTTGCAAATGGGTGACATTTGAAGAAACATTGGAGGTTGCTATTTGAAGCTAGAGTCTCAAAATAAGGCTTCTGTTTCATAACCAGTAAGCAAGACAAAGAAAGTTGAGTTTTATGGAAAAATGGCTCTGCGCTGTGATGTTAAAATGATGTTAATACTCTGCCGCTACTCAAAAGAATTAGATATGTTAAATCTAATAAGCAAAACCTGATTATCTGTATTGAGAAAAGCAACGGAAAAAAATGGAGAGAATTGAACTGCTGACTCTATTTTCATCCTTTAATCCTTAATACCAGCCAGTGCTGCTTTGATACAGACCATTTTATGAAGTTTGACTTTTGTCTTTTGAAGATGCTGATTTGACTGTCTGAGCCCCTTCCTAAATTTCTGGCTACTCTAGTCACCAATCCTTTTCATCTCGTTGGAGTCTAGCTGGGAGAGGGGAAAAATAAAAAAGAGCTTTTTATACTACCTCACAAGAAACATGCCGCCTTCCACAAATTAGCTAATTTTGAAAAAAAAAAAAAAAATGTTTTCCACACCCTACCTCCCCTAGATTTTTAGAAGGATTTTAGAGTTAGTCAAATTGAAATGCTGGATCAATATGGTCCCCCTTAATCTCCTTTGATGCTTCTGTGTACATGCTGCATGTTACCCCTTTTGTGAGGAGCGAAGCATCTAGGAATATATTCACCAAATTCTAATAATTTTCTTTGAATGACTGACTTCAAAACCTCATGTCAGAAGCACAGATATGTTCTGTTTTAGAAAAGGTTCAGAAATAATTGAAATAGATTTCTCCATTAAAGTTTTAAGGTTGTTGTGGAGGAGAGGGAGAAAAACATAATGAAGCATAGTTGACATAATGTGTTACAGAGAGCACTCCTCTTGGAGAGAACTGCTCAATTAATCTAAACAAAAGAGGATTATAAGTTGTGTATAAGATTAAGTATTTCGTTTTTCAGATAAAGCTGAAGAAAGATATTTTACAGATGAAGTCAGTTTGTGTGATGAGTAGTGACAATGAATTTGGAGTCTAAAAGTTAGAATTGCATCAGTTCACTCTCACCTAGTTGCAAATAGTGGGATGACACCCTGTAAATGATATGAAGTAGGAAAAAGAATAAATTTACCAAAACAGATTTAAGACTGTATTATAAAGCAAAGAAACACTTCTCTGCATTCATAAGGGTACTCACTGTTGTGGGCCTTTGCTAAACAATGTCTTCTACTGCTCTTTGAAATTTTATTAGTGGAATTTCGGAAAACTTGTTTCTAAAAATGAATTGCACTTCTTGAAAACATAACTTCTGTCATCTTTCCATCTGAATATTAAGGGAACCAAGTTGTTGTGGAAAAACTGGGATTCTGCGTCAATCTTGTGGTCTCACTTTTTTTCTATAATTCATTTTATTTATAATGGAAAAATTTAGATGACCATTTAACTTTTGAATATTTATCATCTTTTGGGGAAGGGAGTCATATACGCCTCTTCTTAAAAGCTTAGTTTCTAGCCTTTCTAGTATATATATAAAAACTTAGAGTCATCCTAGAAGAAGTAGAATAGCAGCAGGTGTGATCAAAACATGTACATTTCCAAAATAGGAAGGGTAAATTAACTATGACTCTATACTATAGAGTTGCCTTCGGGCACAGCAGAAAGATATTCAATATTATGAATAGCATGGAGAAGCTAGATGCAGAATAATGACATGCTTGCCTTTTAAAGAAGAACCTGTGGGTATCAAATTAAACTGTGTGAAAAGTTCAAAAGTAACTATTTGGGAGTGTTTTGATTTGTATCTTGAGTCTCTGATGGTTTAATTTTACGGCAATAAGTCATTCAAGAGTAAAAAGTGTAAGCACTAAATCAATATTAACAGTTTTGCGTGTCAAAGTTCAGATGATTTAAGAAATTTGTTACACAAGTTAATGCAAAAAAAAAAAAAAAAAAAGAAAACTAAAGCAGGAATATTATCCACAAAAATATCTTCTGATATCTGCTCCATGGATTTCTGAATTCCAGGAGAGTATAGCACAGAGTTATCAACATGCTGCTACGTTCTTCCCTATATATTGTGAATTCATGATTCCCTGTCTGCTTACCTTGAACATGAGAAGCAGAAGCAAGATGAAAGTACTTAGCAAAATGCTGATATGTGAGAGCACAGGCCATTTCTGCTGTGGTCACAGTTACTGTCTGAGAGTGTTCAGAATACTAACAGCAATCTGTCTGCAGGAACTCTTTCAGCTCCTCATGGATCTCTTCAAATATGAGTACAGAGATGTGCTTCACACTGTTGATGAAGAGAAGCTAAGGGAGGCCCAGGAAAAACCTTATAGTGACATTTGCAGTCCTTTTTGTAAGCCCCTTGTCTGTAATTGGTACAAGCTGCTCAGGTGGTTTGAGGCAGAATTGTGGTAGATGACCCTTTGGTCTGGCCTTCTGTGGTTGTTCCTTTGTATGTCTATTTAATAATGATTTTTGCTACTTTGACTTAAGTATTAGAATAATCTTTCCCTGTTACTCTGCTAAGCAACACAGGTCAAACAGATTATCTTAGAACAACAATGTATTCATGAATGTGGAATAGTTAGCCT